AGCAACTATCGCGACAAAATAGAGCGAGAAATCCTTCCCCCTCCCTTTTTGTGGGTTCAGCAGCAGTTCCCCCTCTATTTCGTGCCGGCACCCACCTCGTGCCCCCCACTTGTGTGCCACGCACTCACACACACACAAGACACACACACACACACACACACACACACACACACACACACACACACACACACACACACACACACACACACGCACGCACGCACGCACGCACACACACACACGCACACACACACACGCACACACACACACGCACACGCACACACACGCACGCACCCACACCATGCCCTCTCTTCGCCCTTACCAAATACATTGTTCACTGTTGTCGTTTTCGTTGTCCCCGTTCTTTGCCAGGTGTTCAAGCCAAGGGCCGCGATGCTGTAAACGCCGCCAGCACCGAGAAGCTAACGTACAGCCGAACACACACACACACACACACACACACACACACACACACACACACACACACACACACGCATATCACTTGCATGGCTGCTGTTTGCTGTTGCTGCCTGCTGTTGCTGCCTGCTCCCTTGTGTTCACGTATGCACCACATATACGTCCCATTCACATCCTTTCCTCCCCTCCTTGGTTTCTTCTTCTTCTACGCTTTCTCTTGTCCCATCCCCCCCGGGCCAGGTATTTGCTTGACCTGTGCCAGCCGCTCGCCACGCCAGATTGGGCCCTTGTCTTTGCTCTTGTCCTCCGCAACGAAAACACGCTGCAACAAGGTGTGCACACACAGTTATGTGTGTCTCTGTATGTCTCTGTGTGCCTCTGTGTCTGTGTGTGTGTCTGTCTGTGTGTGTCTGTCTGTCTGTCTGTCTGTCTGCCTGTCTGTGTGAAGGGATCCTGTTGCTGCTCTCGTTCTGCCCCTCTCCATGTGCGCACCTTAAACTGTGGTGACTGTATTCACTCATGTCGCTCGCCGTACTCGCACGCACAATCGCACATACCCAATTGCACATACCCATGCACTCACTCATGCGTGTGTGGTGCAGTTTTGGACGACATTCGCCCCTCCTCTCGCGCAGCGAAGCTTGTCGTGCGCATCCAAACACACATCTCCACAGACCCACACCTCTCAGAGTGCGTTTTTGCTCTTGCTTTCGTGCTTTTGTGCTTGCTTGCACGTTTGCTTGTGTGTGTGCGCGCTATCATTGCCCATGCAAACCCTTCTCACATCAACTCAACCCCGTTCCCCTTCTCCTTTGTCGCCACCACCTTCCACCACCACACTTCAGGGATGCGCGTGGTGCGTATCTTGCGCTGTTGCGGACGGCAGCAGACAATTTGCCCTCTTCTGACGTCACCGCCATCATGACGCAAGACGACATTGAGCGCGAACTGAATTACACGCGCGACGATGTTGAGGAAGAAAGGGAGGCGGAGACAGAAGCCCATCACCGCACGCACAAGACGCGCGGCAGTGGCGGCGGTGGCGTGAACGGTGTTGATGGAAGGACGAACGTGCAGCGCCTTGGTGAGCAGGATGCGGCGGCGACAGCAGAGGACAGCGGCCAATCCGAATGCGTCATTGCTTGATGCGTGTGTGTGTATGTGTGTTGATGTGTGTGTGTGTGTGTATTCGGTGATGTGCGCGCCTGTCTGTCTGTCTGCCTGCCTGCCTGCCTGCCTGTCCGCCTGTGGTTCACTGTTACGCCTCTCACTGCAGCAGCTGGGACGTGTTTCGGTGTCGTCAAACGTAACACCAGACACAATAAAACGAGCCAGTCATCACATCACATTACGACAACAATACTCCGGGCATTGCTGATCCTCGTGTCTTTCATTTCGGACGAATGCGCCAGCCCGTTTCACACGGCTGTACGTGTCCTCATCCATCACCTTCACCGAGCTGTTTGTCTGCCCAAGTGGAACAACAGGGGACAGCGCTCTGCTTGCTCCCTGGGTCGCAAAGTGTCATCAACTGTATTGGCATCAACTTCCACTCGTCCCCCCTCCGGCCGGATCGCACAGCCTACAGTGTTGCTATCACTATCACACACACACACACACACACACACACACACACACACACACACACACACACACACACACACACACACGCACACACACACACACACACACACGCACACACGCACATAAATGGAGGAAGCAATGCCGCTCAAAACTCGCGCACACAAATGCGTTCAAGGAAAGAAAAGGGTAACAGCAAAGCATGTGGTCACCAGCAAAACACAGATGAAGGAGGAAAGTCAACTCATTCAAGCAATACAAACAAACAAACACACACACCAACATGCACACGTGATGAGAAAGTGATTACGCAGAGCCGCCCTTTGTGTATTCGATCTTCTCCACCTGAAACTCCGAGCCAACCAGCTTGTACACAAAGATCTTGATCTTGGGGCCCTGTGCGCGGTCAAACGGTGGGTGCAGTGGGACATTCGGGAAGGGTACACAGCATGCGTTGAAATGAGTGTGTCGGGGGTTGAGCTGGGTGTAGTGATATCAAGCACAAGCGATGCGCGCACACACACACACACACACACACACACACACACACACACACACACACACACACACATACACACACACACACACACACACACACACGCACACACGCACACGCACACGCACACGCACACGCACACGCACACACACGAACCTGGATGTCCATGAGGGCGAAGGAGGGGGTGACCTGAGTCTGCGTGGCCGAGTATGCACCTGTGGCGGAGCCGGGGTTGAGGAAGAGGTGTCCGTCCTCCTCAAACGACTCAAACTGGGAAGAAAAACGAAGACCAAAACACGGGCACATGTTGTCGTGACTGTGATGTGAGCGCGTAGCATGAGGAGACGTGGCCGTGTTTGTGAGGGGAATTGGGCAATGGCATACCACCCAGACACTGTGGTTTCTGCCATCGGTCCTCCGTGACACCTTGCACTGCGCTGTAACCTAGCGCCCACCTTCGCCCCCCCCCCCTTCCCTCTTGCTTTTCTTGTTGTTTGTTTTACCGCGTGTGTGTGTCCACTGATGAGAACGTCGACGTTCATTTGCCTCCGCACCTGTATTGGTGGTTGCGCAAGCATGAGCAGCGCGTACAAGGTGGGGTATGAAGTGAGGGTACATGCAAGAAATACAAGCGTTGGCTGCCTAACTTGCTCAACGACTCCATGGCACAGAGCAACAGCCACGGGTGCAGTGGCAAGTCTGTTGACATCACACACACACACACACACACACACACACACACACACACACACACACACACACACACACACACACACACAAGCACACACACACACAAGCACACACACACACAAGCACACAAGCACAAACCAACGCACCGTGCTCAGACTTTGGTGGTCGCCCCAAGGGACGACTTTGTGTCCATGGCAGAGGCCAATCTTGAAGTCGCCAATGCGCACTGTCTTCTCCTCTGGGTATGTGTCCTTGTCATCGGAAACACGGCAGCACAAGAAAGAAGAGGCGCGTGAGAACACCGTGGGGAGCAAACACACATGAACACACCTCCAGGACAAGTGACTGGCAACGCGCACAAAACCATACAAGCGCACGCGCACACCTCATCAAAGTCGCCCGCCACGACGTGCACGTCTGATGCGAGTGTTTTCAGGTAGTCGAATGTGTCACGAGTGACCAGGTTGCCCGTGCACAAAATGTGTTGGATTTTCCCAGGGACCTGTACGCATGTGTGTGTGTGTGTGTGTGTGTGTGTGTGTGTGTGTGTGTGTGTGTGTGTGTGTGTGTGTGTGTGTGTGTGTGTGTGTGTGTGTGTGTGTGTGTGTGTGTGTGTGTGTGTGTGTGTGTTTACATGTGTGCTAGTGGAAAGAACACATCGCACACACGACATACGCACAACACACACACCACAAATACAACACACAAATGCAACACCAATACAAACACAACACACAACAACGCAATACACTCACCAGCTTGTCTGTAAAAGCCTTTGGAATACTGCTGGCGCGGTGAGGGATGTGGAAATCCCCAATCACAAGCACAAACTTTGGTGGGTTGCCAGTTCAAACAATACAAACAACAGGGAAGCCGAGCATCGGGTTTCGAATGAATAATTGAAGGAACAACGGCATTGGTGCAGCTCGACATAATGTGATACACTCTTCTCACCTCATCCACACCAGCACAAATCCTCCCAACACACACACACACCACACACATACAAGCAACAATACACATATTCATACATCTGCATCCAAACACGCGGGGAAGAGTTGGGAGGAAGCTTGCCAGCACCCTCACATACTGCCCACACTGTGCATCAGCTCGCATCCCATATCCACTGCTTGACTCACCACCATAGTCGCTTCTTCCTCCTGTTTCCTTCCTCTTGGGCGATTGGAGTTGTCCTATTTAAAGTCTCTTGGGTTGGATGTATGACAATTTGTAGAACCCGCGTGGACGGGTTTTGGGTCGGCTGTGCCTTTTTCCTCTCCGACACACGCGCAGCAACACCCCTTCCCTTCCCTTCCTCTGCGAAGCGCACACCGCCAAGATGGGCCACAACGATGTAAGTGCGCCTGTGCTCGTGCGGCGGAGGAGGAGAAAGGCACAGACCCATGCGGGCGTCATGGGCGTGAGGGTGCAAATGGTGTGCCTGTTCGTCCATGGGCTGCTGTGCGTGTGTTTGTGTAGAGGAGGGAGAAATGACCATAACTACAGCGGAGAAAAAACACAAGCAGCTGCCCACTGCTGTGCGTGTGTGTGTGTGTGTGTGTGTGTGTGTGTGTGTGTGTGTGATCATGCCTCTTGCTCCTTCCTCTCCCCAATCCATCCCTCTCCCCAAAGCCACGTTAGTATGCACTGCACAGCACTCACGATACGTGTCCTTGTGCATGGATTGACCTTGTTTTGTTTGTCTCCACCTGCTAGATCTGGTACTCCCGCCCCCGCAAGTTCGGTCCCGGCTCCCGCTCCTGGTGAGTGCTGCTTGTTGTTGTGGATTTTGTTCTGCTCAGAAGCTGGAGATGCCTGGTTCTACTACTGCAGACATACGCCAGCCACCCACTTTACCCGCACACACACACACACAAACACAACACACAACACTGCTCGACGGCTCACACAATAACACACTAACACACACATAAAACATACAACATGCGTGTCCTTGTTGTTGGCGTCGTCGTCTCTTCTGTGGACCATCAGCCGTGTCTGCGGTAACCACCACGGTCTCATCCGCAAGTACGGTATCAACATGTGCCGTCAGTGCTTCCGGGAGCGCGCTAAGGACATTGGCTTCCAGAAGGTACGAACCGGATTGTGTGCGGTGTGGTGAGGCAGAGAGAACAGAGAGAAAAGAAGGGCTGTGGTGGTGGTGGCAGGTGGGCTACACTCGTGATTGTACAGGGAGTGGAGCATGGTGGGAACGGCTGTTCTGATGCATGAGCAAAAGAAGGGGAGGGTGAAGCAAGAGACAGCGCCAGCACCAGAGCTGAGTGCGAGATGTGGATGAGTGTGGATGTGAAGCACGAGTACACGAACAGGACAACACACACGAGGGACGTGACATGATGAGTGAACCGCTTTACAAGCAGCAGCAGCACGGTGGTGCGGTGCGTGTGAGAGGAGGGGGGTGTGGGATTCGTGTTAGTGAGGCGTGTTCGCTTCACTGCTTCATTCCTGCTCGTCACTTACTCACAGTCTGCTTTGTGTTTCCTTGTTATGTTCCCGTGAACATGCATTTGTGTGTGTGTGTGTGTGTGTGGTTTCGTTGTTCCCCTCCCCCCCCCTGGTGCCTGCCTGGCTCTATTCCACCACACACCACCACAGCTGGACTAAACGCTCAACACATGCACCTTTGTTTCTTACGTTGGTTGTTCATGTTGTGCGGGAAGTAAATGGCTGATCGCTCCAGACCAATTGTACCAAGATTCACGCTTGTGCACATCTCACTGGCCCGCACACATGGCGTGGTGGAGGGCAGGGAAGCGAAGACGTTTCATGATTCATTTAGAAGCAACAGCATCATCATCGTCACATCATGCATGCACACACACAGAAGTACACAATCGTGAAACAGCAGCAACACATACAAAGCACATGAAAACACATCGCAGCAAGTCCAGTCAGTCGCCCTTCTTCTTGACGTTTGTGTAGCGCTGGCTGTATGCCTCATAGCCGGGCAGCTGCTGCAGCTCCGCGGCGGTGACGGGGTTGTTCTCCGTGACTAGCAGCGAGATGCTCGAGTCCGCCAGCAGCGCATTTGGGATACCGCCCAACGCAATGTTGTTCTGATGGCATTGAGAGGGGGGGGGGTCGGGTGAAGCAGGACGGGGGTGAGGAACGAGAGAGAGGGAGGGAGGGAGCGAGAGAAAAAAGGGGGGAGAGAAAACGGAGCCAGGCCTAACAGCACGAGGAGAGACGTGCAGAAGAGGTCCAAAACAAACAAACGCATACACACGCGCGCACACACACACACACACACACACACACACACACACACACACACACACACACACACACACACACACACACACACACACACACACACACACACACACACACACACACACACACACACACACACACACACACACACAGAGCGAGGTTGAGTTACGTGTTCGCAACGAAGGACTTTGAGCTTGGGGCACTTGGTAAGGGAAGCGGGGAGGGTGGTGAGCTGGTTGTAGCCCACATTCAGCTCCGCCAAGTTGCACTCGTCACACTCATCTGGTAATTGACTGCAGGGTAAATGTGAGTAGGGTGAACTTCAACAGCACCCGAAGCGCCACACATCAAGGCCTGGACTGACAGTGTTAAAATCACAACCACACACCTCTAAGCCAGCCACCCACTCAAAAGCTCATTCAGCAACTCGCTCGACAACTCAGCAAATAAACGAACGTGATCTTGTTGTGGGAAAGGTTGCACACTTCCAGGTTTGGTAACTTGAGCAATTGCGCTGGAACCACCGTCAACTGTATGCACGTGCACACACACACATACACACATACACGTACACGCACACACACGCACACATACACACATACACACGCACACATACACACAGACACCCACACATACATACACACACGCACGCATACACACACGCACACACGCGCAAACACAAATCAGCAGCGATGAGTGAGTGAATGAGTGAGTAGGACGCTGCATGATGTTGCAACAAGACAACAATGAGGTCCACACACGCGAGAGAGGTAAATTGAAGTGCTGACAGCTCTCAGCTGTACACGTACGGCGTGTTCACCTTGTTGTGGCTGAGGTCAATCTGCTTCAACTTGTTGAGGGACAGGATGCACCGAGGGACGTGCACGAGTGCATTCTGTATGAAGCAGCAACACGACAGCACACACCAGCAAGAGTTGCAAGTGAGTGTCGAGAGAGAGCCGAAAGTGAACAGGCAGCCATGATAGGGCTGTGAAACAAAGCAAACTACGACAGTGCTGAAAGAAGGAGGCAAGACACGGCATGGGCAAGCGTGTTGATACGAGCACTGACTTGCGTTAGCGTCAGTGTTTCCAGCTTCTTCAAGTTGCTGAGCACGTCAGGCAGATTGGCTGCAAGATGCAAATCAGGCATATGAGACCATTGGAGCATGGAGAAAGAGAGCACCTGACACGAGCCCACGACTGAGTGCACACAAACGCGCACGCGCGAGTATACAATCATACTCACACGAGTCCAAGCACGCACATGCGCACGCGCACGCAAATACTGGCAGTCATGCGCTGTTGCATTCGCACACCTGCACATTGGCATGCACAGGAACAATAGTGATCAAGCCTTACCGATGGCATTGCTGTCCAGGTGAAGCGTTTTCAATGCAACCAGCTGTGCAAACTCCACGGGAATCTCTGAGATTTTGTTGTTGCGCAGACTCAAGCTCCGCAGCGTCTTCAAGTCCGCAATCTGGACTGGCGCCTGCAGTTTACATCAGAGACCAAACCCAATATTGTGTGTGCGTGTGTGTGTGTGTGTGTGTGTGTGTGTGTGTGTGTGTGTGTGTGTGTGTGTGTGTGTGTGTGTGTGTGTGTGTGTGTCATCTGTACGGTGAAACAAGCGCGCCAATCACAGAAATCATCATCAAGTCGTTCCAGTCACGAACATCAAAACAGCAAACCAAAACCCCCCGTCCCCATTCATACCTTGGAAAGGTTCAGGTTCTGCAAGGACAGCACGCCTGTTGCCCTGGCTCGTTGCATCCGCTCCTCCAGCTTCACCCGCCCGCCTCCAAGCGGGTTGCTTGCACTCTGGCCCATCGTGTGATGAGGGATGAAGCGGAAGACTGGTGGGGAAGGGTGCTTTCGTTGCTTGCTTGCTTGTTGCTTGCTTGCTTGTCTTGTTGACCAAAGTTGCTTCGCTGTTGGGCGGCTGCAGATAAATGAAGGAAGATGTCCAACAAATTTCAGGACTTGCATCCACCAACACAAGCCACATACGAGAAACACACAAGCAAGGAGCAACAAGCAGAAGAGCAGTGGACTGTGTGCTACACGCCTCGACACGCAAGCGTTCCCTCTATCCAAAGCGCAGCAGCACTGCCGGGATGCCTCGCGGCATGGACCGGCTGCGGGAGAGCTTCCAAGGGCTAAGACAGTCTGCAGAGTCGCTGGCCAGGGTGGTTGGAACTGGCGGTGCGAGCGTGCAGCTGTCGCGGCAGATGCACACGGCAAAGTCCATCCTGGAGGCGCTCAACAAGTTCAAGCAGTCCATGAACACCGCCATCGACACGCCAAAGAGTGCGGGCAACCTGACAAACGACGCGCTGGAGGCAACCGTGGCATGCCTCAAAGGCTTCCTGACGATTGTTACGCTGATGTCGGAGTACGAGAGTGACATGGAGGCCGACGAGGATGAGGATCTTGTGGGGCAGCGGCGACAGGAGCAGCGCCGCCTCCGTCGACAGCGCGCAAAGCACCGCAGGTCACGAAGGCGTGCTACTCAACAACCACAGAAAGGTGACGGGAGCGACGCTGATAGTGGCAGTGATGATGAAGCAAGTGGATCGGAGGCAGAAGCGGGACCTGCTGGCAAGGGCAAGACTGATGGAGATGACGTGCACGCTGATGATGACGATGGTCATGCTGCTGCTGATGACGATGGTGATGGTGATGGTGATGGTGATGGTGATGGTGATGGTGAAGCACACCCACGCAAGCGCGCAAAGCGAGCCGAAACTGCGACTGCTCAATGGCAAGACGGCGTAACACAGCAATTGTCGAGAGAAGCAAATGCAGGACAGGCATCTGCAACCCGGGCTTCCACTGGTCACACCACAACCGATCCAAAAAGCGGGTTGGCACGCGTGCTTGATGGCGCGGTAACAGTCTGCAACTGTGCACCAGTTTGCCTGCAACCACAAGACGCGGCCTCCGACACGATGTTGATGACCTTCAACGTGCCCAAGACGCTCCTCTTTCACATGCCCAACGTGGATGAAGGCATTGCCATTGCTCGCGACATTGTTGGCAGAAACTGCTACCTCAAGGTCAAGCTCTGATGAAGCGTGTGTGTGTGTGTGTGTGTGTGTGTGTGTGTGTGTGTGTGTGTGTGTGTGTGTGTGTGTGTGTGTGTGTGTGTGTGTGTGTGTGTGTGTGTGTGTGTGTGTGTATGTGTCTGTGTGTGTGTGTCTGTGTGTCTGTGTGTCTGTGTGTGTCTGTGTGTCTGTGTGTGTGTGTCTGTGTGTCTGTGTGGCTGTGTTCTGTGTGGACATTCCATGGTCGAAAATAAGAGCATATCATTCGCAAATCCCCTCAGTGTACAAAGCAAAGACCGCTTCGTGCTTGCTGCTGTTGCTGTTGTTGTGGCGGGTGGAACAACACAAAGCTGTTTTGGCCAATCACAAGCAAGCAAGCAAGGTCAGGTGGTGGTGGTGGTGGTGGTGGTGGTGGTGGTGGTGGTGTGTGTGTTGTGTGCCTGTGTGAGGAGATACCTCGAGACCTCTGTACAAACCCGTCATTCAGGCTCACGTACAACACAACCACACTCTACATACATCGCACAACACACGCGTCCCTTCGCCTGACAGCAACACCATGCAGGCGAGAATGCTTGTGCGCAGGGCACTTGCAGTTGTGGCAGCATTGTGTCTGAGCTACATCCCGCTGGCACACGCTGATCACGAGACATGGCCACTCGCGGGTGGCATTGGTACGTTGTCCCGCTTGCTGTTCGTGTACATACATGGCGTGCGTGTGCGTGTTGTGGGGTTACACCGTACTTGCGCTGATTCGGCTGCTCTACTCACACACCACACCACAACACACCACACCACACCACACCACACCACAACACAACACAACACTCACTCAACACACCACAACACTCACTCAACACAACACAACACTCATTCAACACACCACAACCCAACACAACAATCAAAGCCGTCGTTCGTGGAGACGAGATGCTGATGGCCAACGGGGAGAAGCGGTTGACGTTTGCAGTCACGTTTGATGAGCCCTTTCCCAGTACGCCGTCCATCGTCATTGACCGCATTGGCGTCAACGACATTGATGTTTCGCAGGAGCTGTTCCACACCACGCCCTTCATCAGCGAGTCGCGCTTCCTTGCCGAGCTCATTGCGCTGTCCCCGCTCATGGGCTCCGTAAACGTGTCGTGGGTGGCCAGCTACCAAGGACCCTGCGAGAGCCACATGCACTGTCCCACAACGCAGTACTGCGACCGCTACGGCGGCTGCGATGATTGCTCTGTCTGTGTTAAGCTGGGAGACACCTTCAACGCCGCACCTTGCCCGGACAAGTGTGATCCGTACTTCCCCGACATGCTACCGACTACCACCACAGCTACAGCTAGCACCATCACCGGCGCCAGCAGTGGTGATGGTACATTCACGGCATCGACAACTGCAGAAACAACAGCAACCACAACGACAACAACAACGACGACAACAACAACAACAACAATGGTGGGAGTGCCAGAGCCGTGTGTGGTGTGCGACATTGAGACCTACCCATGTGGAGACGAGTGCCTGATTGTGAGCGGTCTTGTGCTTCCCGAATGCTTTCAAGAGCCCGGCTGCTCCGTCACGTACGGCCAGGGCAGCCTCATCCACTTCAACACCACCGTCGATGCCCTCACGCAAGCGCAGGCGCGCGGGCAGAAGGCTGACGGCGCCCTGCTGAAGCTGTCCACCATCAACCCGCATCTCGCCAACCCAGACCTGCGTGAAACCATCGCCCGCGTTGAGTCCGTTGCCCTGTGCACGGACGTGGTGTGCGACCCTGCACCCCAGTGCTACGATGAGGCCGTGTGCAGTGATGGCACGTGTCTGACACCGCGCCCCAGCACCGCCGGCACCCCGTGTGATGATGGCAACAGCGCCACGGATGATGATGCGTGCGACGGCAGCGGCATGTGCGTTGGCATCGACTACTGCGCTGGCGTGGTGTGCGACCCGCCAACACAGTGCCACGTGGAAGGCGTTTGCAGCCACGGCGTGTGCACGGACGTGTTCGCGCCAAACGGCACGGCGTGCGACGACGGGCTTGAGCACACGGACAACGACGCGTGCGACGGCAATGGCGTCTGCTCGGGTGTCGACCTGTGTGAGGGCGTGGAGTGTGCGCCTGCAAGCGACTGCCACCTGCCTGGCACGTGCAGCCATGGTGTGTGCTCCGATGCGTACCAGCCCGAGGGGCACCCGTGCGACGATGGCGACGCTGCCACAGATGACGACGTCTGCACCGGCAACGGCACGTGCACTGGTATTGACTACTGCATTGGCGTGACGTGCGAGCCGCTGTCACAGTGCCACGTTGCCGGCACGTGCAGTCACGGCGAGTGCAGCACCCCATATGCTGCGAGCGGGACGCCCTGCGACGACGGCGACGCCACCACCGACGATGACGTGTGCGACGGCAGCGGCGTTTGTGCTGGCATCGACTACTGTGTTGGTGTCATGTGCATCCCGCCCTCACCGTGCCAGACCAACGGCACATGCGCGCATGGGGAGTGCTTCTTCGACAACCTCCCAGATGGCACGCAGGTCGGTGTGGCCATGTGTGTGTGTGTGGCTGTGTGTAGGTGTGCGTGTGTGATTGTGCGTTGTGTAGGTCTGGCTGTTTGTATATGTGTATGTGTATGTGTATGTATGTGTGTGTGTGTGTGGCTGTGTGCATGTGTGTGGTTGAGCATGTGTGTGGTTGAGCGTGTTTGTTGTAACAGAGTGGTTACTTCTGTCTTGTTTGGCTACCCACACGAGGTTCTCCATGTATGTCACATGCATCGATCCTCAGCCCTCATGTTGGCACACTCGCCAACGATGCTCATGACTACCACCCTACCACCACCCACAACCACAACCACCACCACGATCATGATGTACAGTGCAACGATGGAGATGCGAGCACGGACTTTGACGCGTGCCAGAGCGGCGCATGTGTGGGTGTAGTGCAGCCAACAGTTGGGCCAACACAGGGCATGGGCTTTGTCACCGTGGCCGCTGTCCAGGTAGAGATGACAACCCCGACCAACACCAACAGCACGGCACCTGCGATGCCTGTTGACGATGCTGCTGCTGCCTCTGCTGCAGTTGTGTCGATTGCCGCGCTTGTGCCGGGCGTGTATGAGGATGATGTTCGTGTTGACGTGACAGCTTCCGATGCCAGCATGGGCGGCGGTAGCGGTGTCAGCACTGGCGATGCGTGGACGGCCATGTGGACGATTGAGGTCAACACGCGGGTGTTTGCGGAGGACTATGTGGTGGGCAAGGTGGGAGAGGTGCTCAACTCAACGCAGCTGCTGCAGTCGCTCGCACCCGCTGGTGTCGTTGCGATCACCCTCATCGACACCCCATACGCAGGTGTGTGTGTGTGTGTGTGTTGTGTGTCTTGTGTGTGTATGTGCGTGTGAGTGTATGTGTGGGGGTGTTGTGTGTGAGTGTGCATGTATGTGTGTGTTGTGTGTGAACATGTGTGTGAACATGTGTGTGTTGTGTGTGAACATGTGTGTGAACATGTGTGTGTGTTGTGTGTGTGAGTATTGTGCGTGCATGTGTGCGGTGCTGCTTGATGTGACTTGCTGCCATGTAGTTGCCACCACTCACTCAGCTCACCGACAACCACAACCACGCACATGCACGCAACCAAACACACAATCACATCCATACCATCGTGTCTGGCGCCCCTCCTTTCACTCCGTCTCCCTCCGACCAGAGCTGCGGTGCCTGTCTGCGGTGTCGTGCCCTGCGCTGTCGTGCGCGAGCGACGAGATGGAGTACCAGTCGCAGTACCCGTCGGTGCGCAAGTGCTGCCCGCGCTGCCTCAAGCGGTCCGCATATTTGAGCACGGAGACGGCGGCGTACCAGCTGGCACTGCAGCACTACGCAGAGGCGCAGCAGCAGCAGGACGAGGACTACGCAACCATCGACCTTGTTGCGTACGAGGAAGCGCGTGACACGTGGCAGGCGGACTTGACG